TTTTCCCCTTAGGTTTCCCTATACACTCATTGGAGTGATATGCATCTGACCAATTAAAGAAAACCAGCTTTAGTTAATTAACTCTAAGGGACTGAGTGGTTCCCTGACTGAAAGTCGTAAGAGCTGTTTTTGATATCATGAGTGCCACTGATTAACTCTCAGACCCTGGACAATTCCCTTCATCTTTATATACTTCATTTTTCCCTAGTGCAAAATGCTGAGAAATAAAGTTTGTTTTATTTGGTGAAGTGCTTTTGAGAGCTGTGAAAGAAAAGAGCTATGCATCATCAATGAATTGTCCTCAAAGAAGCCCAACGGGAGATCTATGGCAATAGAACTGTCTCCAGTGTGCTTCTGGAAAACTGAGCCACAACCAAGTAAGGCAACAAAGGGCCAAAACCTCACTGAGACATGGCAGAGGGAAGAGAATAAGAAATTAGGGTTGCCTAACATCTTGACAGTCACTTTTTCCACCAGACCAGTCTGGCAAGGTGGCATCTTTCTCTCATTTCTGGGCATGGCAGCTGATTCTTACCCCTCTGGCTACCAGAGAGAATGTCTTCATCTCTGCACTGTTTGGTTTATTTACCCTGGCCACCCTCCTCCTCAGCAAATCAGTACATACAACCACTTCCAACACCTCACAACTTCTGCAAACTCCTCTTTCTGGTTGCAGGGATATTCCTGTTTATTTGGCATACTATATGGTGTCCTATAACTATATACATCCTTCAGAGTATTTTTTCAGAATTCCACTGAGCTCAAGATCTCAAATACTGCTGAATTTTTGCCAAAAGCTTTGCCTCAGGAAAAAACTGACACTAGCATATTTTCTTTCATTCTATCCCTAATACTTCGTCATTACTTAGTTTTATCTTAATCTTTCTTTCTACTTAAATCCACATAGTTGTTAAGTCCCAAAGCTAACACACCAGTTCCATCATACATTAGCCAGAGGACAGCAAATAATTTCCAGCTGCTAACTAACTTGACTATTTCAACATATTTTTATATTTAAGGAATGGAAGCAAACAGAATTTAATTTCCTCAGATTATTTCATCATTTGAATATATATTCTTTAAAAAAAATACATATATATATATTTGGATTTGCTGGTCAATATTCCTACTTTTGGCAAAGACTAACTTTGGAGTACCTAAATCAATCATCTTATTATTTCTGTTTCAATGGACTGAAATAAAGTGTCTTGCTGTCACAAAATTTTGTCCATGTCAACTAAACATTCAGTTCTGAAAAAAAAAATTAAATTAGTATTTCATTGTAGGAGAAAGGTGAGTGAAAAAAACATCACATTAACATTTAATACCTCTCATTTTTACTTTCTCAGGGTAAAAGAAACTACATTATGGTAAAGAAGAAAATAGCAAGGTCTGTCCTGGGATCTGGAGGCTGAGTACTGTCACTTGACTAGTGCCTCAGCTCTCACTGCAGGCAGTAGGAGAGGGACAGAGTGCTCTGCATACCAGCAGATAATCACCCAAAGCCTATTGAGGAAATAAATTACTTCGACTATGTTTTGGCCAGAGTTTGTTCTCAGAGTCAAAACCCAAATCCTATTATTCCTCTACCAGATCTACCTTTTCTCCACTGGCTTCAGGATGCTTATAAAGCTATAGGAGGTTTTGTGTTTGGTTCTATCTTGCCATGAGATTCTGACTTCTAGCAGATCCCATACAGCCAAGGAGAGACTTCAGCTCAATGCATCCAATATTGTTGCTTTTGCAATAAAAAGACAGGAAAGGGTGGTTTCTAGGGATTCATCACTAGCATAAACATACTATGTCAATCATTCTTTCAAGACAGAAGGAAAAAGCAGTAACACTGTTTTCTGTACTGTTCCTCCCCATTTTTAATCTCTAAAACTTATTGCTTCTTCACTGAAGGAGCTTTACACCATTGCTTTACACCATTAAAAGTCAAAGGAGTTGTAGAACTGGAAGAACATAATGAACATTCAGGGCTTGCTTTTGAAATTATATCTCTTCTTAGAGAAAACATTAAATGCTCCAAAGCTGTCAGCCATTACAGTTGTGTAAAACAGATGTTAGAAATGAGCTCTTTTGTACAGGTGAAAAACCTCCTGCTAACAACCCTGAATCTTGAGCTGCACCATAATTAGAGCCTGTGTTATGGGTAGACAGCACAAACTTCCTCCCACGCCTCTTCCTCTCTCAAGTAGTATGTTTCAATCCCACCTACAGGAGGTGGAAAGGGAAACTTCTGAATTCTAGTCTGACAAGTTTTTCTCTCTTTGTTAAGCCCAGTCAGGAGGCTTACCGACTGCAGTACTATTTTTTCCCTAAATTGGAAATTTTACTGAAAACAGCTGTTGTCAGAGAATGAATACTACAGAGGTTTGTAATGTGTGACTTAGGCAGGAAAGCGATGAACAGACCAACAGATAAACTGAGACACAATGCAAATTTACCAGACACTGCTAATGCCACTGATGGCAGTGCTACCTCACTTCACAGTGACCTAAAAGGCTTCATATCCTGCTTTCTAGCCCCTACCATCATCAGAGGACCAAACAGTAATTGCATTTACCTGTAGATCAGGACTTCATCATCTGAACAATTATACTGCAGCTGATACATTTTTACCCGAGGGGCCGACTTGCTCACTGTCCACTTGACCAAAGCTGAGGTAGTGGTGACATCTGACACCAGGACAGCCCTTTCTGGTGGGCCTTTTGCTTCCCCACGATTAGACTTGCTGGAGCTGGTAATGTCTGAGAGCCTGGATTTTGGTGGTGCTGCTCGGCCTGTGCCGTTACTGAGATGGGGGAGCTGAACAATTGAGAGCTCAATCGTTGCAGTGGACTCTCCAGCAGCGTTGGCTGCTATGCATGTGAAAGTCCCATAATCCTTGGAGGTGGTGATGAGGATATCTAAAGTACCATTGTCATAGACAGCTGTCCTTGAAGAGTTCCCAATGAGACGGTCATCAGGAGCCACCCAATGAATGATGGGGGTGGGATCCCCAATGGCTTTGCATTTCAACGTGGCAGTTTGCCCTTCCAAAACCAGCAACTTGTGAGTATGTTGTGTAATAAGAGGAGGCTCACAAATAAATTCTTCTTCCCGTACATACCAGAAGTACCTTCCCTTTAGGCCTGGAGGAGAAGCACAAGTTTCCATGTCATCATCTCTATCAAGTCGCCTTAACCACAGTAGCTCGCAGTTGCAATGCAGTGGGTTGCCCCCAAAGCTGAGAGACAAAGGTGGAGAAAATGGGGTAACAGCTAATGGAATTACTTGCGACCTGGCAAATATAGGGTCAGGGGGGAGCTTCTGAAGTCTGTTGGATGTTAGATCCAATCTGGCCAATTTCTGAAGATCAGCAAACGTCCCCTCTGTAATATAATCTATCAGGTTATGATCTAAACTGAGCTGGTGCAAGTTAATCATCTTCCTTATAGATTCCCAGGGAATGCTTCGGAGGTTATTGTAGGAAAGGTCTAGATCTTCCAATGTCAGCAAAAAATCCTCAAACGCTTCATCAGAGATGCTGCTTAGCTGGTTGTTGTTTAAAATCAAATGCTGAAGGTTAATTAAGCCTCTCAAAATATCCTCTCCAATGTCAGGCAGCCTGTTGCTGTCCAGATGTAAAGATCGAAGGCTCTCCAAGTCAGTGAAAGAGTAGGGCTGTATGTAACTGATAGTGTTTCTGGACAAAGTAAGGTCAACAAGTCCAGACATATTGGCGAAGTCCTGTCGGCTGATATTAATAATAAAGTTGCCCCCAAGTCGGAGTTCAACAGTTCTTCGATCTATGTCTAGTGGTACAAACAGGAGACCCTTGGAGGGACACAAAGTGCCCAGGGACTCAGACAGGTTCTGACAGACACAATATTTGGGACAAGCGTTGACCATGACAGCCATTCCAAACACCAGGATGCTGCAGAGCAATTTTTCCATGGTAAATCACACAACAGTACCTGCAAGAAATGAAAAGAGTTACAAGGAACATCAGCAGTTATGATATAAGTACCTTCCCTCTTACATTTTGCCTAACATCTACCTCCAGAGATACTTCACAGTGACTCCTCTCAGGAGTCACACCTAAAGTGATCACTACTTTGGGATAGGAAGGTTAAATGTTATAGCAACACGTTTCTCCAAATGATGCATTTCTTTCTGAAAAAAAAAAAAAAAAGTGGTTTTGGTTCCAAATCTGAATGGGATAGAAATTCTTAGGGCTTGTGCCTGGTGATAGGGCCTTGTGACTACCTATTTTCTAGTTAGAGTTTTATATTTTTTATTGGGCGGCTGGTAAAGGACAAATCCTGCCTTCAGATTGCATGGCTTACTTAAAACCCTGAAAGATTTCATTTGGAATAGTGCCTGCTTCTTTGAGGGTAGAAGCTGTCTTATGGTAATTATATACTGCTGCATAATAATGTGGAATTAGTCTTAGGGTTGAAAGAGCTGATTTTATGGATAAAAATAACTGCATATTTACCCTTCAGTAATGTGGTTAGTAATGACCATGTAATTATCTGGCCAGTCCTAGGGCAAGTCAGTTCACTTGCCCACCCATAATAGAATCCATGACAGGTAGCACAGGAAGCAGAAATCACTTTCATAATCATCTTCTGGATTCACACTGAGCTCAGCCAGCCTGTGGGAAGGATGACAGCATCGAGCTCAAAAGAGATGCAGAGAAAACCTGTGCTCCCTCAGGCTCCTGGCAAGCTTTCTGAAGACCTTGTGTCTTCAGGCTGCATGCAACTCTTTCTGTTGTGACAATAAACCTCTTGCCTGCGTCCACACCCCTCCCTTGCACTGTGCTCATTTCTCTTTGCAACATTATCTCTTTTTTTCCAGCTCTCACATGCTTTTCCAGCTTAGGCTGTAAGGTATTTGTCTTTGAAGAATACAGGATCTATGTATTTACGGGCTCAGAGGGTCAGTTGTGGCTAGGAGAAGTTGCAGCCCTGCTTTAGGTTTGGGAATATCTTCTTACAGAGGTTTGCTGGCATTCTTCCCACATGTGCAGGACACAGGTAAACTTGTTTTCTTTCTGTCTTTCCTTTGCCCAGACTCTGATATCAAGGAGGGTTGTGGAATGGAAAGATTATTTCTGACCCTCATTCTTCCTCTGAGGAAAGGGGCAGGTTGACAAAGAGCTGTACTTTTATAAGACATCACCAAAGGCTTTTTTTTTAGTTTCCTAATAAAAAAGTGTCCTAGTCTCCAAGCCCCTCTCTTCTGGCAGTAGCAGCAGGTACAATTCAAGCTATAATTTCCAGTGTGGCCATTTTGCCTCTACTTAAACTACATCACTCACCATATAACCTTACATAACTCTCTGATCCTTGGTATACACCATATCCCTTCTCATTCATGCAGCTGCTCACAGACTTATCAGGTTTTTGGTACTGCTGTTTCAAGAGTAGTCATGGCACAACAAGAAGTGAGATACTTTAATGCTTCATTAACTGCCCCTCCAGTGCCTAAGCAGTGGATAGCCCACAGCCATCTGTGCCTAAGCTGGTTCTCTTACTGCTGTACACATGATGGGATGGATAATACACAGTGTCTCAAAATGACTCCAACAATTAGTACTACAAGGCCACCCAAACTAGCAAACATATGATGAAAGAAACACCTTTCACAAAAAAAAAGTCACATTGCAATTATTTACACTTCATCACGCAGCTAAAATGACAGTTGTGCAGATGTTTTATAATAAATAAATTATAAAAATTAGTCTTTAATCCCCCACAACAAACATAAACAAACAAATAAAAAATCACTTCAGTATTTTTTGCTTTTTTTAACTCCTTAAACAACTCTTTCTCTGCTTTCTTGTTAAAGGAACTAAAACTAGGGAGCTATGTTTGGGGCTTTGCCCAAAGGTGGCCCGTTCCTCTCCTAGTTAAGATGGTTTGGTTTGTCCTCTATAGAATATGTGAGATGACACAGAAAGAAGTATCTGTAGAAATGGAAGATGTTAAGAGTGCTGTACTATGTACAGTGCTGTTCTTTATGGCCAGGTTTTCTGTATGGTGTGATGGCAGTAATTATATACTGTTATTATTATTTCATAGGAAAGGAAAGGAATGAAGCATCTGTGTTTGCTGAACTCTGCTGAACAAGATGACAGCGAGACGCTTTCCGAAAGGATTGCTTGAGGAGAGTAATCTTACCTTAAACAGTAAATAAAAGACTACTGAATAAAATGTTTAAAGATTAGCAAGTATATTATTGATGGAATCTGTGGCATACTTAGCAAAGAGCTGTAAATATTCCTTACATTATTATCAATTGGTAGTTTACTAACAGGCAATTGGCTTTTTGAATCTTAATTATAATTGTGTTCTGCAGCTTTAATTTAGTGTATTACCCTACCAGCTGAAATGATAAACAAAGAGTTTAAAAGGGGGAGAAATAGATACAGTTAATTAGTAATAAGCCCTTTCATAGTTTCTCCCTCATCTACATTCCCACCCTCTGAATATCTATTCAAAAATGTGAATGCACACTTAGGAGAGCAGTGTCTCCTTTAAGTGTCCCAATTCTCTAACCACATTTTTTCCGGATGCTGTTAAATATCACAGTGCTTTGGGGAGACGGTTGACTCTAAGCATCAGAGTGAAAAGATTTGTAAAAAAAAAAAAAAAAGAGGGGGGGGGGGGGGGGGAGGGAGATTAGAAGTTAATTACAGAAAATAGGGACTGCAACAACGAGAGAAGACTGTGAAGCAGTAGGTCTAAATGGCGAAGTAAACCCTGCTGGGGAAACCATCTGTGGATGGCTTGAAAGCACATCATCTGCCTGTGTGTGCTTGCATGTGGGCATGAAAAAGACACAGAGAGTGCACTATGTGCTTTTACCAGCAGGAGGACAAATCAGTAACAACCGTACTAGGATGGAAATATCACGACTGCTGCCATTCCAGTTACCAAAAGCATTAATGGAAATATTGTTTGTCTGCAGCCGAAATTTTCAGCATCGGTATTTCGCACTTCTAAGCTCTGGGTTTCTTTACAATGCAATCCTGAAGTTCAGTAACAGCCGTACTAGGATGGAAATATCATGACTGCTGCCATTCCAGTTACCAAATGCATTAATGGAAATATTGTCTGCAGCTGAAATTTTCAGCATCGGTATTTCGCACTTCTAAGCTCTGGGTTTCTTTACAATGCAATCCTGAAGTGATAAGTCACAAAACAGCAAATAGGGTCCAGCCCCGAAAGGCTCCCTATAGGACATTTGAAAGAACAGAGGTAGAGAGAGCTCCTTAAGGAAAACATCTGAGGTTTCCATAGGACAATAGGTTTTCCTTTTTCTCTCCAGAGAGACGAAGCACCTGGGTAACAGATGAAGTAAGAATTGTCTGCACAATTATAGTAGTATCTTCTAAAATCTAGACTCTCCCACAAAGTCATGACAATTGCTAGTTGCCGAGGGGATGGATGTATAAGAAAAATTATTTTGATTTCAGTTCTGGTGACTTTCATATAAGACAGAAAATAAAGTGTCAAGTTTAGGGTCTGCTTTTACTGACCGGTTTGCTCACCTCATTCCCAAAATTTCTAGTGACATGCAATATCAAGCATTTTATAGGCTACTAATGGTAGCCTTGTGATAAGTTCACCATTCTGATTTACATTTTAAAGGTAGCTATCAGCCAGAAAAAGGAGATTTCTCACAGCAAGTCAGTAAATCTGGCACAGTTCCTGTCTCAGCCAAAAATGAAAAATAGCCCCTTTAGTCCTCTTATAACATGGATTGGTATGAATTAATATGTGCAAGAGTCGTAAACCTTGGTAGTTTGTATTCAAATTTTCCTCATAAAGATACAAATTCTGAGATTTGGCATCTCATTTCAGGAAGGTCTCTGAGGCATTTTTTAATTCTATATCCATTGAGCTTTACATATAAATTCTAATAACCTCTGCATACCACAGCACCAAGTACAAGGTAACTGTCAGTAAATAAGCAATGACTGCAGCATACAGGCTGGGAAAATAAGAAAAGAAAAAGAGAAAGAAACTGACAGAGAAGTGAATGGACAGCAGCTCTGACTCTACTGTTTCTAAGCGCCCTGGGATATAAATTCCAGAGACTGCATGGATGAGTTAATATACTTTTCTTTAGCTTTGTGGATGATGTGAAAGAATTGGATTTTCTTTTCTAGGAGCTGCCTTTTTTCCTTTTCCTTAACCTTGTCCTATCTTTGTTTTCAGTGGAACCCTGTGATGAGGAAATCTGACCCCCAGCTGCAAAGCTTAAAGGACTACAGCAATCAGTGAAGTTTCATGCATATTCTTTGAAGCAGTTTATGATGTGTAAAATGAGGTGGGATTATGTCAGGAGAAAAATCATTCCTTAATCCCTTGCATTGACAAAAACCATGTGGGAAAGGTAGGTCTCCTGTTCCCCTGATTCATACAGGTAGTTTATGTCTAACTCACCAAGCAATGACAATGTCTGTAAGAAAGTAAATGTCTCTGGATCTTCAATCTGTCTTCAGTGCTACATACATTAAAACGTGAGTTGGGTGGTAAGTCAAGTGCTAGCTTTCTGAGCATCTGTGGGACTGTTCAGGTGTTTAAAGCCAGCCATATACCTATGTGCTTACAAAGGCAAGATAATTAACAGTACTTTTGTTTAGCTTTTTTCTTTTGTGTTTGCCTAGGCTTCTGTACTCCTTGGGATAAAGCCACTCTTCATCAGGTGTGCCTATATAGAATGCAATTTAGATTTTGGCTAAGACTTTTTAGGAGCTAGTTTTCTTGAAAAGAATGAAGAATGTGTGAAGTGCTTGCTTCCTCCAGCCACCTTACCTTCTACAAATCATTGAGGGAGAATGCATAACAAGCACACATTTCTCCAGGTATTTGTGGCTGTCTTTACTATGCTCCAACCGTGTTAATTTGACTGATATTGCTTCCACATTAACAGGAAAA